TTGAGGTAACTTGAGCTCTTACCCGATCTTTGGTGGCATTGACTAGTCAAACAGAGTCATTTGCATAATAAGTGCCCTAACGCACCTTAAACCGTTAGGTGACGAATCTCCTCTTTTAATACCTCCTAAAAAAAGAGTGGTCACATGTCGAAGCCCGATTTCGCGAGAAAAAGGTGGCGCGACACCTTCGTCCTCCCAGACTAAATCTGCACTTACTGCAACTTCTGAAACCGCGAGGTAGACTAGCAATGTTTCGCCTTCTTTTGGTTTTGAAAGCAAGGAATGGCTTGATAAGTACTTCTTAAGGTCCCTCAAAGCCTGATGGCACTCCGGTGTCCATTTGAAATTCTTCTTCTTCTTGAGTAATGAAGCGATGACATTTTTCCGACGACCGGGAAATGAACCTGCTCAAAGCTGCTAATTTTCCTGTGAGTCTCAGGACCTCTTTTACGTTCGTCAATTGATCCAGGATATCCTCTATGGAATTGATTTTGTCGGGGTTTACCTCAATCCCCCTTTGTGAGACCAGAAATCCCAGAAACTTACCAGAACTGACCTTGAACGCACATTTCTCGGGCTTAAGTTTCATGTTATGCTTCCTCAGGATGTCGAATGTTTCTTGCAGATGCTTAAGATGGTCACTTGCATTCAAAGACTTAACGAGCATATCGTCTATATAAACCTCTATAGTTTTTCCTATTTGTTTTTCAAGCATCTTATTTACGAGCCGCTAATAAGTGGCTTCGGTATTTTTCAACCCGAAGGGCATTACATTGTAGCAATATGTACCGAAATTTGTTATAAATGAAGTTTTTTCCTGATTTGGTTGTAGCCGAAATAAGCATCGAGGAAACTCATTAACTCGTGCTCGGCCATGACATCAATCATCTGATCGATATTTGGCAGTGGGAGCGAGTCTTTCGGGCACGCCTTATTAAGGTCTTTATAGTCTACACACATGCAAAATTTATTGTTCTTCTTAGGAACTAATACTAAATTGGTAAGCCAATCCTGATATCTTACCTCTCGGACCGAACCGATTTTAAGTAAGCGAGTTACCTCTTCTTTGACGAATTTATTCCTGGCCTCAGCAATAGGGCGTTTCTTCTGTCTTACCGGAGCTATGCTGGGGTCCAAACTCAGCTTGTACACAGCTATTCCGTTAGGATACCTGTCATATCCTCGTGCGACCATGCAAAACAATCAACATTAATTTTAAGGAATTCAATAAAACCAAATCTGAGCTCTGGATGCAGTCCTGTCCCCAAATGGAACTTCCTCTCTAGGAATTCCTCGAACAATGCCACATGCACCAGTTCTTCTGCCGTATACTTCATTTCGTCCGTCTCTTCTGGAACCTGGAAATATCTCGGCACCTGATATTATTCTAATGACTTTGCTTCCTGGATAATTCCTTCTAGCTCGGGAGTAGGTACCGGTTCCTATAATTTCTATGCTGCGCATTCCTTTCCTATGCTACTGGAAACTAAGATTGCATTTATCTCTCTTATAGCCGGTTGATCGCCTCTTATTTGTCTGATTCCTTCGGGCGTTGGAAACTTCAGCAATTGGTGATATGTCGATGGTATAACTTTCATTTCGTGTAATCATGGTCTTCCCAGGATGATGTTGTATCCCATATCACCATTTACTATTTCGAAGAGAGTTGTTTTCATTACCCCTTCAACGTTCATGAGCAGCAAGATCTCTCCCCGGGTCGTCACACTTGCAATATTAAATCCAACGAGGAGCTTTGTTGTCGGGATGATGCTTCCGGTGAGTTTAGCTTGCTCCAATACTCTCAATTGTATGATATTAGCCGAACTTCCTGGATCAACTAGAACACATTTAATCTTAAAATCTAACACATTTAAAGAAATTGCCAGTGCGTCATTTTATGATAACAACAATCCGTCAGCGTCTTCCTCCGGTAAAGTGATATCATCTTCCCGGAGTCTTTTACTTTGAGTTATTGATACTTTGGTCTTCTTTGTCGTCGAAAAGGTGACCCCGTTAATCTCGTTCCCCCCGAAGATCATATTGATCTTTTGGCGTGGGGGTTCTTCTCCTGCTTTCGGGGGTTCTATGTTATCTCTGTTACGACCATAATTGTTCTTAGCTCGGTCGCTCAAGAATTCTCTGAGATGACCATTCTTCAACAGTGTTGCCACTTCTTCCCGAAGATGTCGGCAGTCCCCTGTTCGGTGACCGTTTGTCCCATGGTATTCACACTATAAGTTGGGATCCCTCTGGTCGGGGTCGGATCTCATTGGTATTAGGAACCGCACTTCTTTAATGTTTCTCATGGCTGACACTAGTTCCACTATACTGACGTTGAAGTTGTATTCCGATAAATTGGGATAAGAAAGATCCCGAGACCCCGACGTCTCTTTATATTGAAGCGATCTATTGTTTTGACCACGATCGGTCCCTCTGTCAACGGTGAACTTGTTTGCTGCTCGGAAGTTTCTGTCACGGCCTTATGTCCGCTCGTACGGCAAAAATCGGTCCCTCAAAGTTCGTTTGTCTGCGTCGTAGTCATCTTTTGCTTTATCTTTGATCTTCTCCCGTCCTTTGGCCGATGTTGTGGACCCAACCTGGTCATCTTCGATCCTTATCTTCGACTCGTAACGGTTATGGACGTCTGTCCAAGTTGTTGCTTGGAACTCAAGCAGGCTCTCCTTCGGCTTCCGGTAAGTGTCTAAGCTTCTTGGGTTCAATCCTTTGGTGAATGCTTTGGCTGCCTATTCATCCGGGACGGACGGGAGCGACATCCTTTATTTCTGGAATCATGTAATAAACTCTCGCAATAATTCAGATTCTCTCTGTGCGATCCTGAATATGTCTGCCTTATGGGCTTGAACTTTCCTGGCCCCGACATGAGCCTTGATGAAGGAATCTGCGAGCACCTCGAAGGAATCTATGGAATGCTCGGGGTAATAATGAATACCATGTTAGAGCTCCCATCGTGAGAGTTTCTCCGAATTTCTTTAGCCGCACTGATTCAATTTCGTGAAGAGCTAAATCATTTCCCTTTACCGCCATTGTATATATGGTAATATGCTCCCGTGGGTCTGAAGTTCCATCATATTTTGGAATTTCAGGCATTTTAAATCGCTTCGGGATTAGTTCTGGTGCCGCACTCGGCTTGTACAGTAATTAGATATACTTTTTCGAGTTCGGGCCTTTCAATACTAGCGGCGCGCCTGGGATTTGATCCATGTGGGCGTTTACTTCCTTCATGAACCGCAAAAGTTCATCATTGAACGGATCATTCTCGTTGTTGTGGCCGAATTTACTTCCCCCGGCCCCGTCAGAGCCAACTTCGCCCATGGGAGTGTTATTGTCGACTCTCTGCATCGTTTGGTTTGCGGGAACGTCGGGAGGAATTGGATCTCGTCTGTTTGCATTATTTGAAGCACCTGATAGTGCCTGCTTTAGTTCAGTCATAACCTGATCCTGCCGCGTGAGATGGCATAGAATGATTGCATGTTGCTCTTGCATGACCCTCACTGCATCCGCTACATGCTCCTCATCAGCATCATCAGGAGTCGTCTCCCGAACCTGTCAAGGGTACCGCCTGTCATACACCGGTGTGTCATTCCCCTCATTGCGAGTATCACTGATTGAATCCTCGAAACGAAGCTGTTCCCCTTGAATTTCAGGGTTGCGTGTGCTGTTAACAGTGTTATCTGCCATTCTTTTTTGTGATTTTTGCTAAGACAAAGTAATCAAAACACGTTAGTAAAAAAAGCAAGATTCAATTTAATTGCACGACTGTCTAGACCCTACGGTGGGCGCCAAATTATTTACCTGATAATTGATACAGTTGAATTTATACGTGGTTTCTAGACAAGTAAATTAATTTGATCCTAAAATAATATAACAATTTGAAGAAATGTATAATACTTAGCCTTAAAATATAGATGAAACAACGTAGATGATAGTTCCGGGAGCGAAGCTTTCGGTCACAGCAATGATGAGATCAAAAAGTAAGTAAATAAAATTGTATTGAGCTTTGTATAGAATAAAGAGTAGGTTTTGCCAGAAAATTCGTGCCCTTCCAAAGATCACTGAGCTTATTATTTATAGCTATGAAGAAGGTACTAGGATTGTGCCCTTCTTTAATGTCAATTATGAGGAGCATTGATGAAGACGTAACGGTGAACATATATGCCAAATTCTCTGTAACGGGCCGTTGCTGTCAATACTGTGGAATATTCCTCATTAAATACTACCGGATGCAGGGCATTTAATGCCTTTATGAACGTTATCTCTTCCGGTGACACACGGGATAGCTGCGTCCGGTTTTTGGTCCTCCCCGTCTTATGTTCCACGTGTCCCCTTCTTGGGTGGCCACGTGCCATAACATATTTTACCTAATACACTTTTTTTGGTGTGTCCCGTGTAACTAGTGTTTAATGAACCATATGACATTACGTCATTCAGAACAAAAATGCTTAATTTCGGAGGCGGATTCAAGATTTGAGCTATATGAGTTTAACATTTAAATGTTTTAGGATTGAACTTATTATATTTGTATAAGTATGAGTTTATAGTTACTATTTATTATAATTTTTATAAATCTTTACACATAAATTTTGTGCTCCGCATTGAAAGTCCTAGATTCAAATGAACCGATAATATAAAGGTGCATTCACAACCTGAAAAGACCATATATGCTTAAAATAGAACTCTTTTTTTTGTATCTTAATTTGACTAATTAAGAAATTAAGACATAAAGAAAGCTTTTGAATCTTATTGTCCTAAACTAAATACCTGTATAACATCCCAAAAAATATTTACTGAATTTTATAATTTTAAAAATGCAATGTCATTCCTGTAAGAAAGTGTCATGAATAAATTGAAATGGAGTGAGTCATTTCTTAAATAGGACTTTTATTTGGGATTTGATATTTGAATACTCGCTTATTTGGGGGAAAAAGTGTTATTTGCTCAAAAGCTTAAAAGCGACCCGACCCGGAGCTTCACAGTTATAAAAGCTCAGCTTTACCAGCTTCAAACAACGTGAACTTGCAGAGCGAAGAGAAAATGGAGGGAAAGCGTTCGAACACGCAACCACTAACACTACTAAGAAAAATCAAAGGTAATGATCAATGCGCTTCCATAAACCTCAAATTTTCCTGAAAATTCATTGGAAAATTCTCGCGATTCAACACATTGTTTCTGAACGAATCGTCTTCACGTTTGTGTCATATATACTTTGATATTGTTTTGCAGGATTTACTGGTTCCATTGTCGAGGATCTCGCTCGAGGTAGAGCGCCGACAATCTACATCGATCGGTTCAGAAATTACTGTACTGACACTTCTGGAAATTGGTATATATTCTTCATTATTTCTGATTTAGCAATTGTTTTCTTGAATATATGAAATTAACAATTAAGTTAAGCTTAGCGAAGTGTTTTTTTATTTCTTTTTAAGGCGACGTAGTTGAGAACAGTGAATATTTGCTGCTGTTTGAAAATTTTAGTCGACTTGGCATTTTAGAATTCCAACACGAAAAGTTACACTGAATTGAACTGTTGATCGGTATAGGAACGATCTACCTATTTATGCAGTTGATCCTGCGAATGCGAGTGGATACTGTGAAAAACTCTATAATTGTCTTTCTCAGAAGAAGAACAAGGATAGTCTATACTGGGAGTTTTTCACAAAGAAGCCATATCCATATTTTGAGACACTAAGTAGTGACCAGTGTTATTAAAAGGCTTTGTCGCGTAAAGCGATGAAACAAAGCAAAGCAAGGGGTTATCGCTTGGGTGAAGCTATGCGCTTCATAGAAGTGTGAACTTCAATCAATGACATGCATAGTGATCCTAGCGAGAAGCCATTGGTTATTTGAATGTCAAGTTTGAGGACTTGGATTAATATAATATTTGCATTATTGTATATCAGATACTGAAATTAATTATTTCAATTGCAATTTGATCATATAGAACTATATTCATTTATTTAAGGTATTTTTAATCTCAGGAATTAGGCAATTTGAAGCGTGAGCTTCACTTCATGCTTCTCGTTTCAAGACATTTTTCCTTTTTTTTTTGGATTGCTCGCTTTTAAGAACACGTTTAGGTATTCTGTCTATTTGATCTATGTGGCACTCTTTCTTATTTAGTATGTTCCAATATTAATGACATATTTTTGTAGTTGGAAATTCTTTACAACAACAACAACAACAACAACGACTAAGTAAAATCCGACAAGTGGGTATGGGGAGGATAGTGTGTACGCAGACCTTACCCCTACCCCGAAGGAGTAGAGAGGCTATTTCCGAAAGACGTTCAAGAAGACGGAAAAGACGAGAAGAGAAGGGAAAGGACAATATATTAGTACCATCAAACAGAAACCAAAGAAACAATATTAGCATCATAAGAACTAGAAAATAGTTGAAATGCAATAACAAAATCAGAAAATAAGCCTAATGCTATGAAAACGTAAGGATAGGGAGAACACAACATAAACCCCTAACAGTCTAAGACCACCCCTATCGAACTAGCCTCACCCTTGGACTCGACTACGTCCTAATCTACAACCCTAATGCTCGACCTCCACACCCTACTATCAAGGGGCATGTCCTCAAAAATCTCCAACAACGCCATGTCCTGTCTAATCACCTCTCCCCAATACTTCTTAGGCCGCCCTCTACCTCTTCTCGTCCCTGCCAGGGCCAAACTCTCGCACTTCCTCACCGGAGCATCAGGGCTCCTCCTCCGCACATGCCCGAACCATCTGAGCCTCGCTTCCTGCATCTTGTCATCCATTGGAGCCACACTTCATTATAATCTTATCCATCCTAGTATGCCCGCACATCCACCTCAACATCCTCATCTCTGCCACTTTCATCTTCTGGATATGATAGTTCTTAACCGGCCAAACTCTACCCCATACAACATGGCCGGTCTAACCACAACTCTATAGAACTTACCTTTGATTAACGTTGGCACTCTCTTGTCAAACAAGACTTCTGATGCTAACCTCCATTTTATTCACCCCACCCCTATACAGAGTGTGACGTGCTCATCAATCTCTCCGTCCCCCTGGATAATCGACCCCAGGTACTTAAAACTACTTCTCTTGGGATGGCCTGTGCTCCAAGCCTCACGTTCATGCCCACATCCCCCGACTCGGCGCTGAACTTGCATTCCAGATATTCTGTCTTAGTCCTGCTCAACTAGTTGGAAATTCTTTAATCTTAAACTTTTCATTTTACCCTTAATGACATACTCTTACTGTTAGAGAAATATCATGGCATGTTTAAGACCACAAATTCTAAGAGTACTTTTGGGTATGCGCCAAAAATCTCTTTTTATTTCTTTCTTAACTTTGTGCCTACTAAAATACTGTTACATGAAATGAAAAGGAGGAAGTAATTGTTATGTTGAATGAAGTCCAAAAAACAAGGCAATTTACTGAAGTTGGAGATTGAATTGCCAATTAATAGCATCCAAATGTTCTGATAGTAGTCTTTGTTTATGTAGCTCTTGCAGCTCCGATGGATCGACTGGCAAAGAAGCTATATCATTGAAGAGGGAATGCCATGCACATAGGCTTGGTGAGTCTAGGGAGACTAAATCGTACTCTTATATTTCATCTGACTAGTCATCATGAAATAGTTGGAAAAGAAATAATTGACTGAGAAAGGGGCAGGAATGATAATTGAATTTTTTTTATCCTCTTTGGGAAATGATAAATTACCAGGAGGAGCTGTTTCCTCCTTTTGTTGACTTCTTTCCAAATTTCCGTTTATGGCCTGTCCCTTCCTTGATGTTAATAGGATGTGCAATGGGATGTAGTCTGAGGTTTCTCGCTCAATTTTCTCTTCTGTTTGGTCGAACAATCTTGAATGCCTTATTACCCTCCAATTTCCTTAACATCCTAGAACTAAGCCGGGTTACTTACCTCTATATGGTTGCAGATGTCTTGTTGAGAGTCCTTCTGATAATTCAGCAACTTCTGCAAGAAAGCAGGCATGGATCAAAGAGAGACATATATTACATGCATCCTACTGTTTTTAAAGGTAATCTGGATTGACTGTTGATATCTCAGTCACTAATGTTTTCAAAAGACAAATCTGGACTGGTTCTTGGTGTTCAAGTGTAGTTACTGCCAATTAATATCACAGACAATGGTGAGACATTATTTATTTGTAGAATTTATTTTGAAATATTCTTGTGATTGGTTACAAAGTTTTTCTTCCAAGGAAAATGCTCTTATGTACTATGGTAGTTCTGCTTTCTCAGTTGCTAACGTGCCATGGTTTAGAACTCTAGTTCAAACTATATATTAGTCAAAAGGCATCCTTATATGCTCATCATTCTCTTTTGCACTCTTTAATGCAGAACCATCTGTTGTTGATCGGGCAATTAATGACATTTGCATCCTCTTGCAGTGCAGTCGGCATAACCTTAATGTGGTATATCAATTTACTTTCCTTTCTGTATCAAAACAAACTCAATATCGATATATATCCATATATACTTATGCAGACATATAGTATATATAGGTTTTTAGGTCGTCCACTGTTTTAAGTTGGGAAACTATCCATAGGGTGTGTTCACTGTCACTTCTGTTTGTTTTTATTTATATGCTCATTTTTCACTGTGGAGGATTCAATAAGGGTTCCGAATTTTGATTAATAGTGGAAATGGTCGTTCTGATTTACTTTTTAGAAACTTTTGACATGCGAAATGGTAGATCCTCAAGTACCTCAGCGACCATGCAAGCACATAACATTTTTTGCTTTGGGAGGAAAATTTTATTTGTTTTTTCTATCACATGACCCTGCCTTCTCCATAACATGGGGAGTGGGGGAGGGGTTCAATAATGTAGTTGATTAGAAGGATGTGGCTACTGTTTGTCGTGAAGAGCTCGAATATTGACTTCAGAGAATGATGGATATAGCTTGACTAGGGTAAACCCAATATTCAAATGATTGTCTTTTTCTCTTTGTATTGCTAATTCATGTACGAAACTTGACCATATACTCTTTTGATCCTTGCCTTCTGCAGGTATCTGTTGGAAACGGGTGCGTACCTCTATACAGTTAATCTTTCCATGAAGCAGCGTGCTTCCAGACACGTACAGTTGGGGTTCATTATATGCAATGCTCTTTTTTCATACTCGACATATCACGTTTGCAATCTAACATATCAAATTTTTCCTCTTCAGTTGATTATGCTTATAGCTCCTGCATTTGTTTGACTGCCGCCTCATATGTGTCTAAATTCCTCTTCGAGGAGCAAAATTATTTCATGATTGAGATATTTAGCATAGTCTATCATGTTAGAATATGCTTTTGTACTATAGCAAGGTAAAATATAATCATCGTGGAGAAAGCATCTCAAGGAGTATTATTGCTTCATCATTTTTGGCCTACTTGTGAAGATTGTAGTAGCATGTTTAGATCTAGTTTCAACTGTTCGCCAGTGAAGTTCTCGATAAATCTGCTGCTGTTGCATTTTGCTTGAGACTAGATTTTGTCTTCCTTAAGACTGATATATGGTTGGTTTTCTTCTTTGTTTATATCTTAATAGTTCCTTGCAATTTTTGGTCATAAAGTTCTTTATTCCTACTATTTATGGTCTAGATTGGTGATGGGCTGGCTGCGGTATGTGGAATCTGGGAGGAAAATTGACTGCATTAGCAATCCTAACACTGTAAGAATGATAATTAGAAGTTAAGATGGGTTTCTGTAGTTATGTAACAATCTAATTATGATGCTTCCTGCAGGCATACCCGATTCCGGTCCATGTGGAAGAGGTTGATGGTATCCTTACAAGTATAGGTGTTTGAATTATGAATGCGACATGGTTAAATATGATCTACGAGTTTGTGGACTCCATACATGCGCAAGTCCAGTTATGGGTAAACGCAAAGTTGAATGGACATTTGTTATTGAGTATCTCCTGTTATTTTACTTTGTGGATTGCTTGCTCAGACTATGGCTGTCGATTGTTACTCCCTTAATGCTTGAACAAGATATTATTAGTGTTGCTCAATACGTTTTAGTTGTGGAAAAGGAATCAGGTATAACTTTCCATAAGCGGGTCAAGGATATAACAGAGTCATGAAAGGTATTCCTAGCTCATAAATGAGGCAACTATTTGCTGTTCATCATGCAGTATTCCAGCGACTAGCAAATGATCAGTTTGGAAAGAGGAACCGTTGCATTGTGATAACAGTATGCGTCTTTTGTTTTGTGAATTTCCACGCATATTTGGATCCATAATCTCTTTTTTAAACCAGGGAAGGGGTTATCCTGATGTTCCTACAAGGAGGTTAGACCCATGTTGCTCACTTTGTCAGACTTGTTGCAGTTGTTATCCTACTTCAGTTAACCATATATCTGCCTTTTCATGTCGCTTGCCTGTGGTAGGTTTCTGCGTCTCCTCGTTGACAAGCTGCATTTGCCTGTGTATTGCCTGGTAGATTGTGATCCATATGGCTTTGACATCTTAACTACATACAAATTCGGTTCTTTGGTGAGGATTATTCATTGTGGTGTTATTATGATGTGAACAAGTTGCTATATTTTCCTCCTTTTCACTTTTATACTGCTGCACTTTCATTTTGTTAATTAGTCCAAATTTTCACTTTTCTAAAAGAAAAATCTGGTACATTCTTCATTGTTTCCTTTCAGTGTTATCCTATCAGAGGCTATCAAGCATTCATTCTTACCTTGATAACTTATACCTAATCTATGCAAGACACCTAATTTGAAGTGGATAGAGTATTTAGATAAGATGGATCATTAGAAGGATGTTTACTTTGGTAACTTCTGTCTTTTCTATGCTTTTTGAAGCAAATGGCTTATGATGCAAAGTTTTTACGAGTCTGTGAGATACAATGGCTTGGAGTATTTATCCAGGATTGCGACAATTATAGCATTCCACAGCAATGTCTCCTGCCTTTGACTGCAGAAGGTAAAATTCACGCATTTATTGTTTCATTTCACTGTACCTTTTTTTTAAGCAATTCACAAACGACTGATATAAAATCTGGCCAGATAAGAGGAAAGTTGAAGCGATGTTACTTAGGTGTTATTTGCAAAGAGAAGTACCAAAATGGAGGTAGAATTTCATACTGAGTAATGTTAATGCCAACACTTATGGTCGGGTTCTGAAAATACTCCACCTCCCTCCCCCTCTTTTACCCTCAAACTGAAGGTTTGAACTGGAGCTGCTGTTGCACAAAGGAGTTAAGTTTGAGATTGAAGCATTGTCTGTGCATTCACTCACTTTCTTGTCCCATGAGTATCTACCGTCGAAAATCCACAGTGGAGGGTATATCTGAATCTTTTCTATTTTTGTTCGGTTCTTTGGCATGAAAAGTTCAGAGTAATTTTCGTGTGCTTGAGTAAATCACTTGAAAGAACAAAGCTTTACGGTTGCCAAATTCATCATGTCCGTTCGTTTTGACCATTAAGTTTTTTCATGATGTGGTTCTGGATATAGAGCTACGAATGGGCATTGATGTTAAGCAGTTGGATAGAGTGAAATTTGTCACTGTTTGTCATCCACAAAATGGTACTTTGGCATTATTTGGAGAACCCAAGCCTTAGTGTCAAAATTTTAAATGAAGTTAAAAATAGTCGCTTTAGCTTGTTATGACAGTACATGTTGGTCCCTGCTTTGCACGGGAAAGTAAAATTATGAGAAAAGTGTAGAGATAAACATGGACAATAAGGAATAGAAATTATGAGAGTGTAAAGATACCTACATAGAGAATAAGGAATAATTTATTTATTTTTAGAAATTATTTAAATTATATACATTGACAATGCATAGAGTTTTTACCTGAATTTTCATCTATGATAGCATGTTAGTAACTATTTATACCAATTTGCAGATCAATGTTTATCATGAGATTTATTTGTAATTACTTTATAAGTGATATGGTTGTGTATTTTTTATTTTATTTATATAGCTAATGTATTGAATTTGAGCTCAGAAAGTTTTTGAGTTATCCACGTCGAAAACCAAACACCCAGCAGGTTGAGATTGAGCAATGATTAAATTTCTTCTTCATGCAAAAAGAAAAGGTTAAACTATTGTCTCACAGAAACCAATACATACTCAACCTATACGATTGAATTGCTAAAAGTTATTTATTTTTCAGAATCTAAAATTACATCTCACTTTGAAAAACAATTGTTTGTCTTTGATCTGATTTTTATAAAACTTGTTTGAGGGTTGATTTGCGCTAGTCACGTAACATAAGTTGATTCAACTTATGGAAAGAATTAAGTTTGGGTTGCAACTATTTATCCCCTTAACTAATAGCGCCGCTCGCTAATGCATCTAAATATGGGCAAGTTAGACAATTTGCGCATTTATGGATCAAACTGGACACCGCATGCAAGATGTGATAAATGATTGAATTGAAAATAAAACAAAGACCAAACAGAATAGAATGAGAGTATTCTACTGAAAGTTTGAAACTTTCGACTTCTTGTTTGCTAATAGAGAAAATTTTAAAAACAACAATTTTGAAAGTCTACGATGATAAAAGGTGGGGGTGTCTAATGACATAAACATAAATAAGTGGGAAGAAAATTAAAGAGATCTAAATAAGGAAGTATCCACCGGCATGTGTTAAAAAATAAAATCTTAGAATTGATATTTTCCACAAAGAAATGGAGCTGAAAACCCCACAAAATATTATAAAATCTTGGTAAAGATTCGATTTAAATTACTCAAAACGAAGAGAACGTAGTACTTACCATGAAATGACAATATAACAGCAGACTCATCGTCCTTGGTTCTGTTATATGAAAATGGTAAGAAAATCTTTGATATGATTATCCGATTTCTTTCTCATTAATTGGTCACGACGAACGTCTTCTTTTCTTCATAAACAAAAAACAAATTAATTCACCCTCTACAACTTGTTTCCTCTAGTTAATTTGTCCTCCCTTTTTCTCATCAAATCTATCAGTTCATTTGATTCAATGGAGCCCTTTGCTGAATTGGTATGTTTCACTTTCATTTAAAAAACAATTTACTGCTTTAGCTAGTTTAAAGCTGAAAGTTGTTTTTGCTTTAATTATTTCTTGAAGGGTTGTATTTTGAAAGTGGACGTGTGCTGCGATGCATGCAAGATGGAGACGGTGAATATTTTGAGTTCTATATGCGGTAATATATTTGCTTTGATTTCTATTGATCAAACTCTGCATCTCTTACATGGATTGAAAGTATGATTTTGATGAAAATAAAAATGATTAAGTTATCTGTCTGTATTAATATGACTTGATTTTTCTTCTTGTTTTAGGATTCTGGGGGATAAATTAAAGGCCATGGTTATGGCTCTTTGAACTTGTAGAATTATAGAAGCAAAATATGATTAAGCCCGCTTTCTTCTGTTCACGTGAGCTTAGTATGGCTCATTGATTTGATATTGTTAAGAAAATAGCGTTAGGCTTAATACTAGAACTAAAATGTGCCTATCATAGGGAGAAATTCTAGTAAGAGGATACAAAACATGCAAAAACACCACACCTCGGATATGAATGCAGTTTTTAGGTTACCATTGCCACTAAACTAAAAGCTTCGCTTATGTAAAAAGATTTTTTAAAAAGTTTTCTATTACAATAGCGATCATGGAAGGGGGATAGTGAGAATTGAACCCACGTCTATTGTGTGGAAGGCTCCTAGTGTTACCCCTTCATCAAGAAAATTCAACTATATATTCATATATGTATACACGCGCGCGCACTCATGATAAGGGTCTTCAAGAAGAGAAGATAGCTATGATTTATATGTTTTAATTTATCTTGTAGGAGTTTATTCTGTCACAATAGAATCTGACGAAGCCAGAATTTATGGTGAAGTCGATCCAAACCTCCTCTTGAGGGCACTATCAAAATCAGGCCGTGGGAACCATGCAGAGGTGAAATGGGTGACACTTAAGCACCCATTATTGAGCAATAGTCGTATGGCTGATGGATATGGCTCTTATAATCATAGATATGGCTCTAATAGTCATGGCTATGGTTATAATAGTTATAGCCATGGCCATGGCTATAGTTCTATTGGTGGTCCCTTTAGGCACAGAAGGTCGTTGCCCGAATATACTTATGGCTACGAGGGACACCACAATCACCAATATCCATTCAGGAGCATTGCACCAGATTACTCGTACGCGTCCAACTATTATTCCGGTGCTTTGCCACCACCTAGGTATGTCTCAGCATATGAAGATGACAGCTTCAACTTTTGCACTACAATATGATCTTTTTAAGTAGTTATTGTGGATGGTTTCTTATTGTTTATGTTAGAATTTGTAGACAGCTTAGATAGTTCGCGCTTACACCTTTTGTTTCAGTGCAGAACAACTAAAGCTTCTGTATCTAATATGGAAGCAGTTATTAATCAGAACTGGTTTGAAAAAGTTCTAACCTTTTTGAAATTATAATAAGAAGGTTCTTTTGTTTTCGATGTTTTTATATGTTCTTCTTTCTTTTTCTGTCAATTTAAAGCATAAGCATATCACATCAAGTGTAGCTCTGCTTCCTAGACTCTTTTCCATTCTGCTTTTGGACTGAACAAACTTTTAAATGGTTTATATTTTATTTATGAAATTGGTTGAGTTTTTGCTTGACTACTTAAAGATGTTGTCATTGTAGGCCTCACCACTATTATAGGTAGAGAAGTGGAGAGATTCTTAAAGGCTCGTCGTTGGCTTTCCACCATGACAACAACAAGTGTTTTTGCGTGATTGTTTCTTCTTATTAGGGACAATTTATTTAAACAGTAGCTAGCGCCTATAGTTGAATAGTACGTTCTTTTGATGAGGATTCAATGCACTCAAGTAAATTTTGTCAAGGTCTCCGCGCGACACTTCACTTTGATAAGTTTTTGTTGCTCAAGTGGTATGCCATATGTATCTTTTCAATATATAAAGGAAATAAATAAAAATAAACAGGCTCTAGCACTATATAGACAACCTAAGCTCTTGACAAATCGCTGTTAGAAAACTATTACACATCCAATGAGGTACAAGAGTAATATTCTCTAACAGTTGCCATAGTGATGTTCTCTTAGAAATTAAATATTGTTCATTCACGTTTAGCATATTTATGTGTGTATATATATATATATATATA